TCCAAGAGGGGGATCCATATGCACTGAGCAAGATGAATTTCAGAGGGCAGGGAACTGCAATGAGGAACAGTGACCCTCTGTCTAGCATCACTTGAGGGTCTGGATCCTCAGCTAGGAAAAGGCAGAAGCTGTTTTGTACTACTCACAGTGCTTTGCTCTGGAAATATCCCAGACCCAAATGGGCTTGCACAGCCATCCACAGTATCAACACCCGCCAAAGAGACCATCAGATACAGTCACCTGTCCACATTGTCCCACTTACATTACAGGTGCTTCCTTCTTACATGCAGGAGTTGAGTGTCAAAAACACGGACACTGGGCTCTTAAAATGAAGAGCTGTTTCTGCACTGCATTGATGTTCTCCCTAGCCTTGAACCAGACTTTATTTTAGAAGAATGGTCTCCAGCCAGTGGGTGGTGCAGTTCTGTGCAGAAAGAGAGACCAGATGGATAGGAAGGCGAATTTATCCATGGCAACAAAACACAGCTGTCAGGTGTGCCTGATGGTGCAGGAGTTATTTACTGGTCTTACAGCACCTGAGTGTTGTACACAGCACACTCCACCTACTGCCCCAAGCTCATTTGGGCAAAGGCTGTTCAGACATGTCTCCTCACAACCCTCTCTCCTGCCTAACTACAAAATAAGAAACCAAGGAAGCACAACAGATGCATCACTTTTCCCTAGAGCAAGAAGGAACACTTGACCCAAACAGTGCAGGACCAGCATATATACTCACTGCCACCTCACAGCAGCAGACCAAGGCCCTGAAAATTTGCCACCTATTTGGAGACATCTCCAATACTTTTACACAACAGCAGCATACATGATTATTCCCTACTTCTGAGGTGTCTGACATCACTATATAAGATAACCTGGGTCCTTCACACAGATCTGCTTAGTCTCATGCCCTCGTGCTGTGACAGCAAAACCAAGAAGAGAAAGTCTGGCAAAAAGACATACTCTTTCTGGTAGGCAAACTTGGCTGTTCACACCACTAAGCCCTCTAAGCCTTCATATCCATCTTCTCTCCATTATTATTGAGGTATTAAAAAGCCACAGCATGTACAAGATTGCTGCCTGAACAAACTCCACAAGGGTAACCCTCACAGTGATGTGAAGTTGCTTCCATACCAAAATACATTCCTTTCCCATAGCTCCCCTCTTACAGGTATTTCATATCATTATTACAAGAACAATTGCTCCACTTCAGCAGATTTTCAACCAAATCTCAGGCTTTAAACACGACACATTCAAACAGTCTTCTTCCAAGTACTATCTTCTACAGCTTTAAGTCTACTCCATTCTTATGCTGGGGAGGCTAACTTCTACAGGGGTACAAGGAAGTGCTCAAATGTGTAATGAAGAAGAAATGCTTCCTTAGCAACCTATTATTCCTCCTTTATTTTATAATGAAAAACGCAACACTTTCATTTACCAAGGCACTTACATTTACTTCAAAATGAAATCTGAAATACTGCTGAAAATATAAAATCTTGCTCTCACATCTACCTTCTAGATTAATTGGCACAGTACATATCAGACCATGCTTTATTAAAGCATTAACCTGCACTTTCCATTACCAAAATCTATGGTTTGGGAGGATGGTATAGATTGGTCCATAAACATTTCATTTCTCCACCAATATAGCAATAACAGGCAGCAGTACTCCTAAATCAAACTGTTTGTTGTAAAAGAAAGGCTATAGCAAATCCTCTGGAAAGGCCTTGCACTAAGAAGTGAATGAGGGAGGTGAATAAAAGCAATGAAAATGCATGCGCATGAAAAAGATTTCAAGAGGGATTATTTATGCTGGTTAAAAGGAACAATTATGATGATTATTATTTGCCATTATACTTTTAAACAGACAAATTTATTTTTACTGTGTCTCCACAGTTTACATGCGTTGTGTACTTCCTTCAGGGTGTACAGTTTTCTGCTGGGTGAAAAGCATTCAGGCACAGAGAAATGTCAGGGGGTGAACTGCAGCCAGTGGCATGGCTCTGAGAGAATTCAGCTCCTGCCCAACCTCACAACCATCTGCTGAAGCTCACTTGGCCTCTTCATGGTCTCATGAGTAAAACTGGGCAATGAGGAGCATGTTAAGAGAGGAACCAGGACAGGTGGACAGCACAAAATCTTGAGAAAGCCAAGGAAAAAAGCAGCACCTCAAACTGGCTCCTCAGTTATGTTCTCTACAGCCATCTGGAACATTTCTCCCTGGGGGCACTGTTCTCTGTGCTGACCTTTTCCTTCCTTGCCTCTCTGTTGTATGCCAGGGACAGACTGCTGTGCCTCTGGTCTACATCAGAGCACATAGGTCTGAACAACTTCCAACCACTTTTAAGCATAATTAGCAGGACAGTGCTATGTAGTACAGGTCACATCCACTTTTCGCAAAGGCAGATCCTTAAGAGAAGCAGAAGCAAGGAGGAGTGCTTCTACCTCAACAAATCTGGCCACACGAGGTTATTTTTCTCAGCTACAAGGACTAGGAGGTCACAAGTGACAGGCACCACATGAAATAAAAAGAGTAAACCTCTCTCTCTCTCTCTCTGTCATGGTTGCCGTTAAACTTGTGAAACAGGCTTAGAAGTGGACAGGTGAAGAAACAAAGCACCCATCATTTGTTATACCTGAGGAAAATCAAGTCTTGTGTATTTAAGCCAATCACTTGAAACTTTATGTAGACTTGCAGTTGGGAGCCACAGAATGCTTCCACTATATGGAAGGAGCCTTGTGATAAGGCCAATTAAAAAAAGAAGTTAATTTTCAGAATAAAAGCCCCTCCTGAACTGGCACCGTTGTTTGAGTTTAAAAATCACTACAACACAGCCACATTTAACTTTTCACAGCAGAATATAAGGAAAAAAATACTGAAGTCAGGTGTAGCTTATAGGAAGGTCAGTATAGCACAGGGTTCACAACCTCAAAAGTTAAAGCTTATTATCACAAAAACCTCATTAGATGTCTCCTTTGTTCAATATTCTCTTCATATGCTCCAAAACAACATAACAGTGATCATCTCTGCCCACACCTACAGTGAGGACGGTGGTATTTAGTTTCATAGACTTAACCAGGTTGGAAAAGCCCTTTAAGAACATCAAGTCCAACTGTTCCCCAGCATTTCCAAGGCCACCACTAACCCATGTCACAGGACCTTGTCTACACGGTGTATGAACACTTGCAGGGACAGTCACTCCAGCACTGCCCTGAGCAGCCTGTTTCAATGTCTGAGCACCCTTCGGGGAAGGAATTGTTCCTATTCTCTATCTAAACCTCCCCTGGTGCAGCTTGAGGCCATTTCCTCTTGTCCCATCCCTTTTTCCTTGGAAAAGAGACTGACCCCCACCTCACTTCATCCTCCTTTTAGGTAGCTGTAGAGAGAGCGCTTCCTACAATCTAGCTAAGTAGCTAGTGGTAACAACATGACCCTCAGCCACCCTGCAGTAAATTTATGTCTGGAGATACCATACAGTATTAAATGCTTAGAGACACGCTACAGAGCACCTGTGGGTCAGTTCTAAAGTTTAATTTACAAGAAATTATGACAGAATAAGGCTTTAAAATAGCTACTAAAACTGAAACTGCTGTCCACCCCATCATTAAAGTGCAGAATAGTATAGAGATCTGCTTCCTAAAGTAAGCAGGCAAATTTTCTAGACTTTTTGCCAGAGTTCCTGGTACTTAAGGCGCATAGAAGGTCTCTTCGCTCTGAGGGGAAAGCTTCTATTCACACGCTCTTAGTCCCCATTAAGTAAACTTTTCCAGGGCTCAAACAAACACATGCTCCACAGAATCCCAAAAGCCCCAGCAAAAAGGAGAGAAAGCTACACCTCATTCCAGGTAAAAGGGATTAATTGCTTCCTACACTCTTGTTACAGAAGATGTGCATATCCTAAACTGGGTATCATTCAAGGAAAAACATAAGCATTGAGTATTTTAATGCACCAGAATCACCTGGTACCCCAGGGGAAAGTGAGGATGGGAATTTTATGCACACTCCTGTTATAAAAATTTAGCCTTGGCCATGATCTGATTTAATTATTTTATTACAATTGATTAATATCAAGAGGCAATAAGCAAGCAGCACTGGGTGTGCGGGGAGTCTCCTCTCCGCCAACAACGCACACCAGGGTTTTTGGGGTACAGTCTCTTATACTTCTCGGTCCAGGGTTTCAGTTACTGGTTTTGAGTTTCAGCCAATCCTGTTGTCTTCTTTGCCTGAAATTCGATGTGGCTCCTTTTCATTTGTTTCTGTCCCGTTGCTGAGGTCTTCTCTCCAGGTAAAAAACATACTGAAACTTCTCGGTAATACATTAACAGAAAGATGTCTATCACAAGCTTAACCACAATCTTAGACCCCTATATTTAACAGGATGCATCTCCTTGGTTACCTAACCCCCTTAAAGCATTCAAGCAGCTAAACGAAGCTGAAAGCGTTCCTTATTGTTTTAACAGTCTAAATGATTAAAGAGGGGACTAGCTTATTCCCTTGTTTCTTCTTCTTTCCCATCATTACTTTGACACCAACATTTATTATAATCAAGGTCGTTTTTATACATTCCACACATGGTACACTGGTCATAGGTACACTGGTAACAATGATTTCTAAGTTCTTGACACGAATCATTCTCATATTCTTTACACTCCTTAGGCTATTACACAACTCACCTCTACCAATTCAGAGGTACAAAAACCAAACAAGTTTTCTCTTTATCTTTCTCAATATCAGCTCTCCTAACTGTTTGCTCAGGAAAGCATTTTCTTTGGCTCTTTGTGAGACTGAAACAGATCCATGTTTTACTCCATGCTATATTGAATGCTACTGTTTTTCAAGTTGTTTTCCTCCATGCAAATGACAGTACTTATTAACTGCCTCATTAGTTTAAAAAGTGGTTTCAATTCAGAGTTTCTCATCTGCAACATTCCTGTATATCTAAAAAGCTAAGGTTATTTTCAGAAGACAACAAACTAAACACCTCTGCTTTTCTTCAACATACGAAGTTTCCTCTGGTCTGTTCCTTAGTCATCCAGAAAAGCATCTGATCTTCTAATCTGAATCTCCCACACATCCCTGATAGAATAAAACCCAGCGATTAGTTGAATACATATAAACTACACTACACATAGCAAAAACATGCTTTCAGAAGAGCAGGAGTTATCTACCTTCTCAGCAAGTTTGCTAAGGTTGTGAAACAAGTCACACAAAGTAGGCATGCCACCACCTACACAAGCTCAGAGTACATCCCTACAATCACAAGGCAGCCTTGCTAATCCCTACATTAGTAATGCAACCATTCAGCGTAACTTTCTACATCTTCTGAGCTCAACACCTACACCTGTGCAAGAGTGGTACTCATCTAATCTAGGCTGTTGAAAGCAGCAAAGCACCTGTTAAAGAAATCCTTTCCTCAGGGCAGGTTAAACCCATTACATTAATTCATCCAGTTCAATAATTGCTTCCTTCGCACCATTTCTGCCACGCAGACCAGTTCTCTCTCAGTCTCTTGCTAAACTGTGGATAAGAAAACTTTTCTATTTGCCTGGACAGACAGGTGCAGCCATGGCTGCTCAACAACTCCTGGTCTCTGTGTGTAACACAACTAGCACAAAGGATGGGAATGAAGCTGAGACCTCTCAAGCTCCTTTCACAACACCAACTCTGAACTGGTGAGAATGGCTTTAGTTAATGGCTGAATTTCAGACGAAGACATGTGGAGGAAATGATGAGCAGTCCATTAGAGCTAACTACCACAGTAGTAGATACAGCATCTCACTAGAGCTATTATATCCAAACCACCAGTGATTCTTGACTGAAAGGATACATACGTGCTCTAAACATAAAAGACTGTTAAAAGAGCAGTAAAGATACAAAATTTAGGATTAGGAAACCATAGCATCAAAGTTACTTATCACTTACAAAGAAAAAGCACTTCATGAAGGCTAATCTCAGCGTTAGCATTTCAGCTCTATTAAACCAGCCAAATGGAGCAGGTTTTTGGAATTGAGGCCAGGATGGAGGAAGGTGAGGTGGTTACCAGGGGTCTGTGCCCTAAGGAGACCCACTTGAAGGAACAAGCCATCAGCTGCAGCCTATCTCTCTTGGCCACCTCATGTCACACCCACATGACTGACATTGTGTGACCCCATGCAAAGGCACCCTAAGGAGAGTCACGTATCAAGGGAGAAGTAAGCTGAGAGTTCTGCATCTTATTGCAGCTTGCCCTGTGCTATAATGCCAACATAAAAAAGTTGGATGAAGAGCACACAGGTCCCCTTCTTCTCGAAAGAAGACAGCAAATAAGCTTTAAATAACCTCCTCAGAAACCAGACCTCTAGGCTATTCATATCAGACATGAATAGTTGGACACACTCTTCGCAACACAGACTGGAAGTCTAAAAAGGGGATAAAGTGCTTTGTGAGAGGAGTCAGTGCTGACTCTTGCTGTGTTTTCAAAACTTCTAGTCAGATCCTACAGCTTGGCTTTACAGGCAGCATCATCATCACATGTAGCACACAGGAATAAACATAACCATGGCTCTTTTAACAGGAGTCTCTATTACCCAAATACACAGAGAGCCATCTGGCAGAAATCACCTGCAGGGCTTGTATATGATGTTTATCAACTGTCAGAGGATCTCTTTTAAATGACTGATCAGCCAAGAAGGACATACCTATAAGCAGTTCTTCCGTTACAGATTTGTACCTTGGATATCAAAAATTATTAAAAGTCAAGTACATTCCAGTGGCACGAGAAAAGCTTTGAATAAAAACAGGACATTTGCATCCAAGGGTAGTTTTCCACATTAAGCAGTCTGTTACCAAACCCAAATCCAACACACCTAACCCTGGAGGAGACCACTCTTCCACAGGAACAGATGCTGCTGCAGATGTGATAGGACTAATGATGTCCCAGCTCAAGAACACACCTGGAGAGTAGTAGGTGACTTATCTGACAGAAAAAACATGCAATGAGATTTGTGTGCTCAATTTCTTTAACATTTCTTTGAGTTGCTGTAGGAATGATACAGCAAAGAGTATCTCTCCTAAAAAAAAAGATAATTCATTCTGATCTGAATATACTTGTACAGTCTTCATGTCTGGAAAACAGGTACTCCTCAGAGGAACAACAGAAACACTGATTTTGATCAAAACCAAAGCAAATTTCATTTCAACCTGTCTTACCCACAGAGCTTTACTTGAACACCTTTACTCCAGGTAACCTACAACTCCCTTATTTGCTAACTTTGTGTCTTACAAGACATGCATTTTTTTTCAGCAAGATAATGCTTTAAGTTACTTTCACTGTATTAAACACATTGGATATTCTTCCCAACAAAGCAGGCACTGAAGAGGATACGTCCTTTCCAGCTGTAGCAATTAGCTATTTACACTGAAAATCATGAAAAAGAACATATCTTACTCAAAAGAGACTCTTCAACAAAACTAATTTGTAACAAAGCCCAAATGTCACAGAGTCCTCAGGTCAGGGCAGTATTCTGTACACGAGGAGCCCACTGACTGGTGCCTTCACATGAGGCTGGCAATACTTCTAATATGAGAGGGGTGGATATTGCTAGTTCTGGGTGTGACTGGGGGAATGCAGTTTCCCAGTGTAACACAGAGATCTCCAGCAGTTTGGAGTCTCAAAGGAAAAAGCTTACCACTAACCACACAATATGACAGCAGCAGAGCTACTAATTCAGGAGAATTTGCACCCAATAACATGGCAAACTGTTCCTCTCCCCTGATCCATCTATACTACAGGTCAGGAAGAATGGACAGGCCATTTACTAGTGTGGAGATAACCACAACAAAGAGAAGGCAGCACCATGAAAAAGGGGAAAATCAGCATTACAAGCTCAGCCACATGAGCAATGGAGGTGCCAGGACCAGCCTGCACTAGGAAGGGGTCCACCACTGTCAGTTAACCCTGGCTATGCTGTGTCTCTGGAAAGTACCATTAGGCTGCTGCACTGGAAACAGCATCTGGGAGAAGGCCAAGAATGCATTTTAACTCTCTGCCTTGCTGCAGTATCTATCTCTTTTCCGTTTTCTGCAAGCACATGCAAAAAAAACACCCAAAACAACCTCAACATTATTCTTAATGACCAATTTTTAACAACCAACCTTCTCCCACCAAAAATGGTATACAAAAATGTCAATCTGTTTGTCATTGTCCATTTGAGGTACTTTCTGACCCTAGGAACTGACACTTGCAACCTGGACAGTTTGCTTTTCTGTGGCTTAGGGCAGGATCTACCATCGCTCAGTTCCTTCATCACTTTACCCTGTGCATGGGTGATGAGACAGGTCCTGACAGATCTTTTTTTGCTGTAACAAAGCTGACTGTACAAGGCAGTGAACTGGGTGACCTGGCACCCCCGGGAATGTGAACCTCCCTGCCAGCCTCCTGCCTGCTAACAGCCCGAAGGCCAAGGTGATGGGCTCACCTGGTAGCCTATGTCAGCCTAAGGAGGACACTCCCTAGGAGGCTCTACCTGACAGGCAATGCCCAAATCTTACCTCTTGGCACCCAGACTCAGTAATTCCCACCAGACTCTATTTCACTTCTTTCCTCTCAACTGCCCCTGCATGGTTTCCTCCTGCCTAAGTCTGATAAAATACGAGATCAGACCCAAATGAAAACATAGCACAATTTTTCAGCCTGCAACTGGTTTGGTAACATGGGTGCTTCTGGCTGTAAGTAGACAGACAGACAGCCCTCTGCACTGCCACTACATCACACTGAATACACGTACACCCTTCAAGAGGCTGGAGTCCTTCCAGGCAGGCCCATCGATAGGAATAGCTTTTCCTGTAGTGCCATCTTCTGGATTAGGGTGTAGGAACAATCTAGCTGAAATGGATTTATCAAAAGATATTTATCTGTTAAAAACTGTTACAACAGCTTTAGACTATGGATCAATATGTCGAAACAGCCAAACCACGGGAATTCTCTCAACAGATTATCTACAGTTTAACTCTCAATCAATTACTAGCTTTTAAATGACAAGATTTTGACCATTGTTTTCTGGCTCAATCTGCTTTGTGTTTTGAGCCACTGCAATCTTGCTTTTTAGATTTTGTTCTATTTATCAGGAAACACAAAGGCTGATTGCTTACAAATTTTGTGCCACCTCGTGACTCCGCAACGCGTGACGGCTCCCCAACGCCACGTGGAGAGGGAGAAAAGCAGGTAAAACCCTATTGATGGGGCCTGTATATTGCTTTAACCCAATTCTCATCACAGTGGTGGTTGTAGTTTCTAGTCAGTTTGTAGCTCAGGGTTTTGTAGGTAAAGGAAGCAGGGAGGAGCTCCTTTCTCACTGAAAGATCCCAGCCTGGTTTGTGTTGGAAGGGACCTTAAAGCTCATCCAGTTCCAACCCCTGCCACAGGCAGGGACACCTTCCACTAGAGCAGGTTGCTCCAAGCCCCTGTGTCCAACCTGGCCTTGAACACTGCCAGGGATGGGGCAGCCACAGCTTCTCTGGGCACCCTGTGCCAGCGCCTCAGCACCCTCACAGGGAAGAGCTTCTGCCTAAGAGCTCATCTCAGTCTCCCCCATTCTGGCAGGTTAAAGCCATTCCCCTTGTCCTGATCCTACAGGCCCTTGCCCAAAGCCCCTCTCCAGATGACCACCTGTAGCTCAAAACAGTGGATTCAGGAGAGTATTACCTATCTCCTGTGCAGTGTGGCGACCACATGAGCTGAAGGGAGGAAGAACTAAATATTTATTCTTTTCCCCACCTCCACTGTTTTTCTGACAATAATGCTCTCTCATCCTCCTGCACACAACGATCATAAACACCTTCCTCACCTTCACTGAAGGATTTTGGTGTGCAGGTTCCACAGACCAAAACCCACTGACGTGAGGCCGCCAGGCTCCTACCGCCAATACGGGTCCCGAGGGCCATCGCTGGGCCGGGTGGTGCCGTCCCGTCCCGCACCGCAGAACGCAGGTTCCCCCGGCTCCCGCATTCCTGCAGTCCCGGAAGGGGTGACAGACCCGCCCCTGAGGAGGGGGTACGGATGGAGCCAGGACAAAGCCGGGAGCGGCTGTGACCCCGCGCAACAACGGGAACCCCGGGAGCCGAAATCCCCTTCGCGCCCCCTCCCTCGGTGCCCACGAGCGGCCTTTGTTCCCGCTCCCCTCTGGAACGTGATTTTAAAACGGCGTTATTATAACAATTAATACAGATGTTTCAGCGTAATCCTGCCCGGATCAAGCCGAGGATTTGTACCCCGCTAAGGCGGGAGCCGGGATGGATCCAGGGGTGCGTGTTGTGACAGAGACTCCGGGCAGCAGAAACGCCCTCACCACAGAGGCTGAGGGGAGGCAGAC